GCTTGCAGCAAGATGCTTGACACCATCAGCCGCCAGGGACACTGAAATCAACACCACAAGACACCACTTCACAGCCACTCAGACGCTAAAATCAGTCAGGTGGCAAGTGCAGGGGAGGACGTGGAGAATCTGGGACCTCTGTGCCCTGCTGCTGAGAGGGCAGCAGGGCGTGGCCACTGGGAGAGAGTCTGGCCGTTCCTCCATCGACCCTGTGGCCCGTCGACGCTACTCCTGGTTAAATGGAAACACGCCCACGTGAAGGGTGCGCGAAGGCTTACAGCTGTGCTATTCACGGAGCCCAGCAACAGAAACTGCCGATGCTCATCGGGCAACGCCCGGGTAAACACCACACAATGGAACATCCTCCAGTCAGAAAAAGGAGAGAGGGTGCTTCATGCTACCACACAGATGAACCCTGAAGACAGTGCGCGAAGCGAAGGAAGCCAGGAGCAAAAGATCAGGTATTGCGGGACTCCATGCATATCAAAGGCCAGCACAGCGCAATCCATGGAGAGAAGGTTGTGGTTGCTTCCGGCTGGGGGCGGGAGCGCCAGGGAACGGCTACGGGTTTGATGCCAAGGCGATGAAGATGCTCTAGCACCGACTGTGGCACGGCTGCTCGTATTGTGAGTGCACCACAAACCCTGGGGGCTCACTTGACATGCTCTCTCTCACGGACGCCATGTTTAAAACGGGGCGGGGGCGGGGCTGGTGAAGACGATTCGCCGCTGTGTCCTCTCAGGGACTCGGCCGCAAGGACCCCAGGCAGAGGGTGTGTCTCTGCCTGCCTCCGGGACAGTGCGGGAAGCGCGCTGACCCACTCCCAGACCCAGACCCACTCCGTGCCAACAGATGGCAGGACCCAAGAGGCGAGGGGGGCACTGGCCTGCGTGGGCCCTTTCGTCCCAGGACTGGGCCAGGCTGCTCAAAGGCTGGTCTGACACAGCTGAAGAGGGGGCGCTCGGGACCACAGGGCCCAGGGGCGGGAAGGGGTCCCCTTTTCACCTCAGAAACAGCCAGGCTCCAAGGGCTGCTCAGAGTTCATCTGGCACTGGCAATCCCCCACCCCACCCCCCGCAAGCAGGGCCTCTCTCATTCCAATTTAAACTGATCTTATCGTCCCCCCCCAGCCCAGCCTGCAGGATAAAGTCCAAGCTCCACGGCCTGCAGGGAAAGGCCGCTGTCCAACCTCATCGCCCTGCCGTTTCGACACTGGAGGCTTGCCACCCGCGCCCAACAGACAGAGCTGTGGCCTCAGGAGCCCTCCTGACCCCACTGGAGCCACTCATCCCTCTTTGCAGACCCGGCAGGGTGCCCCGCACAAGGCCGGCACCCATGAGGGTCTCCCACTCCACAAACACGGAGGCCCATGTGCGGCAGCACGGACGCCGGGACGCATATGCCGCCCCAGCCGCATGGACGTAACCACCAAATGGAGAGACCAGCAGTAGCGACAGAAAAAGAATGACAAGCTTCCAAAAGGACGGAATGGGAAGCGCAGAGTTCTGAGGGTCTAGGATGAGGGAGAGGTCCTTAGTCTGGTGATAATCAGGGAGGTGTCCCTGAGGGAGGGCACCTGAGCTGAGCTGGGGTGGGGACGAATCCCAAGCAAGGGAATGGCTTGTGCAAAGGCACTGAGGTGGGACAGAGCCCAGAGCCTGAGCGGCTGCTGTGGGAGGGCCAGTGCCGCACGGGAGGGGCGGGTGGAGCGAGATGAGACCGGAGGAAGGCGCGGGCCAGGCTGCCTCGGAGAGTATCGCGACCTTCGCCGTCCCCTCAACACGGGGGCGTGGGACGGTGCAGATCAGCTCTGCATCTCGCCCAGCCTATCGCTCTCGGGCTGTGGGGCTGTTGCGGGCGCCCCTCTCGGCCTCCCCTCAGGCTGGCAGCTCAGCAAACGGGGGGCCGCTGCAGAGGAAACTGTCCTCACGTTCAGACTAAGGATCCAGGGACCGTCTAGGAGACACTTAATATCCTCCCAGTTAGGCTCGTCCAGGGAAAAATCCGGGAAGACGCCCCTCGCGCGTTCCGCAGTCCTCATGGAACGCGACCACCGACACCCTCTGGGTGACTGTGGGGCTGGAGGCACAGCAGAAGGGCAGCCCCCGGCTGCGCCTTGCAGGCCACCCTGCCAGCCACAGCCAGAGGGAGGTTCTCTTTGCCCCCCGCAGGCCAGGAGACCCCCGAGCCCTGGCACGCTGGGCATGTGGGCGCAGCCCCCGAGGGACCTTTGCCCGGGTCTGTTCGCTGGTGGCTGCAGATCAGGCAGGGACTTGGCGGCACCAGGCTCCCTGGCTCCACAGGAACTTGGCCCAGAAAAACAACTGAATCATCCCCAAGGTTCTCCAAGCCAAGCCCTCGGGGTCAGTATTTTTTTTAAAGCTTAGGGGTGGTTTCTATGGCAACCAGCTTCCGGATGGCAGTGAGCCCCAGGCCCGCACTCTCCAACCTGTCCTCAAAGGGCCTCCAGGGAAGAAGCACAGCCTCTCGGCTCTGAGAGCGGCCCCTCCCCGGCCCTGCAGGCTCACAAGCAGCCCCCGGAGCAGGGTGGGCGGACGCCTCAGGGCGGCCGGGGCACCTCCGACTGTCCCAGGGACACCACCTACCTCGCCCACACCCAAGCTGCCTCCCCTGGGGCCTGGTCAGTGCCTCTGGGAAAGGCCCTTCAAGGGGAACCCCCGTGGGCCAAGCCTTCGTACTCTGGTCTCTTCCAGCACAGGGTGGCCGTGCAGCTCTGCACACCCAGGCCCTGGGCCCGCTTCCCCCCCCCCACCCCCCACCCCTGCCTCCTCGGACCTGCACAGCTCCTCCCACCTAAGGCAACGCCTCCTTGCTAATGTCTCAAAAGTAGGAATCTGGAAACAGCATGTGATCAAGATCAAGTGTCAGTCTATCTGCTGTGGCTCTGGACTGAGCCTCCCGTGTCCACGCCACGCAGGATGACAGGCCAGCACGGACAGCTCCGCGCCAGTGGCAGGCAGGCCTGCAGGCGCTGAGCCGGCCTCTTCCCTGCCCTCGCGCGCCTCTGGGCCCTCCTCTGCCCACCCTCCGCCTGCCTCCTCTCTTCCTGGGGCCTCTGGGAAGCGCCTGTCACCCTTTTCCCCAAAGGATTGTTCTCTTCACAAAGGAGGAAACGTCCTGGTCTTATCAGATATCCGGCTTCATGCAGAAGAACAGGCTGCATGAAAATGCATCCCAGAACTCCTGGAGCTGGAGGTCGCCCTGAGGTCATCTCAGCCACCGGAGGGAGGGCTGGGTGTGCGTGCCCTGGGGTGGGTGGAGGGGCAGACTCCAGGGACTAGCGAGGCCTCCCAGGAAGCACACCTGGCGCCTGAAACCCTTCAGCGGCACGTCCCCACATCCCCAACGCGCTCTCTCTATAACCTTGTCTTCTATCAAGACCAGGGGCGCAAGGAGCTCTGTGCTGCTTTGCTGTCAGCAACCGCCTGCCCTGGGCAGGGGGCTGTGTGCCTGCGGGGAGCAGAGGCTGTGGGCCCCTGCAGCTGTCCTCTAACTCCCAAGACACGGGGCAGGCTGGGGGTGGCAGTTCTCTGTCTGGGAAGAGAAGAGCAGGAACACAAGTGCAAGGGGAGGCATCCAGCAAACATTAGGGACTTCTGGCGCGAACGTTACCCTCAGAGCCAGTGGCCCACCTGGGGAAGCAGGGCGCCCTGCACCCTCATCTTACACAAGAGGAAACTAAGGCCCAGGGAGGCCGTGTGGTCAAAATGGTGTCAGGCTGCACTCGCCAGGGCCTGAGCACTGCGCGAAGCGCCTTGTGTGCATTGTGTCACCCACTTGTCCCAACACCGCGTGAGGTTTTCCTGGTACTAACACCCTTTTACAAGAAGAAACAGGCTCAGCAAGGTCATGGAAGAGCCGGACACGCCTTTCCCCATGGCCTCCAGCCCTTGGGAAACATTTCAGGCCCCTGGCAAGGCAGAGGCCCTGGAGGGCACCGCACAGGGAGAGCACACCACCCCCTACCCCCGGGCAGGGGGCCACCAGCAGGGTCACGACCAGGCCACAGCTGCATCTGGGGCCACTTGCACACAGGAAGCAGGAATCTGTGGCACAGCCAGCCAGGGAGGGTCCCGAGCCACAGGGAAGAAAGGGACGCTGAGTTCACAGACCCTGAACACTGGGGAGGGAGAAAATGCTATGGCGGGGGGGGGCGGCGTGGGGAGGCCACTGTGCAGCAGTGAAAGTCCCCTTTGTCCTGATGAAGAGAGACCGGAAGCCAGAGCTCCAACGATCACGCGCCGAAAAGTGCTCCCTCAGGCGTCCCCTCCCACGAGGAAGGGCCTCTATTTCGGTTGTGCTTTCACTGATAATATGACCCTGCTTTTTCAGTGACCGCTGAGGCACTTTCCAGAGGAATGAATCGCATCCTTGTCCACAGCAGAGAAAACACGGGACAAGTCTGTGGGGGCAAAGGCAGTCCCAAGGGTGTGTGCAGGCCACCGCGGGGTCGGGCTCCAGGCTGCCGGGCAACTAGGGTGGGCAGGCGGGAGTGGCCAAGAGGATATGGGGTCCGCACGCAGGGACAAACACGCGAGACCAAGGTGCTGAGTGCGGAAAGGGGCTTTCCCACCGAGGCAGGAGTCGGGGGCCACGGGTGACAGTTTCAGTGCGAAGGCCTCAGGGGCTGCATTCGTCAAGCATGGCGAGCGGCCCTGCACCTTGTACCAGCTCAGAACCGCTGCCTGCGCCGGTGTGGGCGTGCGCGAGGGCGTGCGCGGGCGCGCCCGGGCTCAGCAGCGCTCTCATCTGTACATCACGGCTGCAAAGGCAGAGGGCAGAGGGGCTGCCAGCGTGCCCGGCTCAATGCCCTTTCACACCCAGCCAGGCGGAGGCCCTGGCAGGGAGGAGCCTGACCACAAGCCCATGTCTTGGCAACGGCAAAGCCACTTCTGGGAAGCACACAGCCAGGCAGCTGCTGCAGCTTTAGAAATGCCCAAGCCCTTCCCAGGTTCTCCCTCCTCACCATCCGCTCTCACCTGGAACCTGTGCACCAGCTCCAGGGACTGGCTGTCGTTCTGGTCAGCTTCAAGAATGACATCGGTCAGCTTGTGGATGACGACATCCAGGGGGCCCTGCTCCTCGATTGGCCGGTTAAGGTTCAGCTGTGAGGGGGGACACAGAGAAGAACTTCAGCACCTGAGCCCGCTGTCCTATTCTATCTCCCACCCTCTGCATGTCCCCGCGGCCCTGAGAGAGGGATAGGGGTTGGGGAGGCAGCTGGCACTCACGGGACACAGGACAAACGGGATGGACCCGCTAAGATCCTAGAATCCCACCAGGTCAGGCCCTGTGCCTGTCCTTCTGTCCTCAAACTCCATGCTACCCAGGGCATAGAAAACACACACAGGGAACCCAGGTGACGAAGAACCTACAGGCCAAGTGAGCATCACTGTGGAATTGCTTTATAGAGAGCGCATTTACTGAGCACGTCCCATCTGCCCAGATTTTTTGCAAAGGGCTTGTTGAGGAGAAGTCCCACCACTAAGTCACACAGCCAGCTGTGTACTGAGATCCAAGAGGACGCGCCACACAATGGCACAAAGTCTCAGCAAAGCTGTGATCTCCATAAACCTGACAGACCAGCCGCTTACACGGCACAGTGGAATCGGGGCTGAGGGTGACCAAGTGCAGGAGCACAGGGCTGCGTGTGGTCGGTCCCTGGGGCACGGCCTGCCCGGCCCCACCGGAGGCTTGTTTACTTTTTCAAGAGCACAGGGTTATGGAGGGACCCCCAGGGAGCATGGCCCTGGGCTGACAGATGGTCACCATCACCTGACCCCAGGCAGGAGTACCTGCCAACAGCTGGGGCGACCTGACCTGACCCTCCAGAGGCCTGCCGCCCGGCATGCGGACTCCGCCACCTGCAGCCAGCCCCGCGCCTGACTGATCCCGTGGATGGCCTCAGGAGAAGCCAACAGCCCCACCCCCCATCCTCAGCCCCACCCCAGTGGGAATCCCTGCGGGATTCAAGGCTGACTGTCTCAGAGTCATTAGTAAAGCAATCACAGTGACAGCTACAAATGACAGCTCCAGGAGGTGCCGGCCAAAAACTTCACGTGCATGCCTCCTATTTTCCAGCCACGTGATGAGAAGCGATTTCACGGATGGGTGGAGGTCACGGGCTTCTGACCCCTGCCCAGGACCTCACAGTGAGACAGAGACAGGGCTGTGAGGCAGACTCGTGCTTGTCGTGCAGGCCCCGCCTGCGCCCACGCCCCGGGAAGCTGTCCTCCATGGCCACCACCGCCTGGCGCCCTTGTCCTCTGGCTTCTGGCCAAGTCCAGCTGATCGGAGGCACCGACAGAAGACGGGACGGGGTAAGGGAGAGATGTCCGGTGTTTGCCAACTGTGCGCACGCCCGCGCCGCTCCTGGCAGCAGCTCCGTGGCCAGGGCAGCCCCGCTCCAAGACCACTGCTATTTCTAGGGCACCCCCTCCCTCCCGCTGTCCCCTGGAATGCCGACAGCTCAAGGCTCCTGGGGGCCTCAGCAGCTCCCGAGGGTTGCCTGAGACCCCGCGCAGACCTGGTCACCCTCCCTGACGTGAACTCTTTTTCAGGTAAACCTCCGGATCGTGCCAGCTCTTCCCTGCCAATATCCTTAACTCCCCTTTTTTATTGTCTGCCAGGAAAGATGTTCAGGGATTACCCCTATTAAAAAAAAAAAAAAAGTCCATGGACCTCACAGTAAGAATATAATGAGGATTCCCCTCTCCTAGGTGACTAGCATGTATGCAAACAAAACAAAGCGCAGACCAGCTGAGACGCTGACCGTCTCTTCCGGGGCCCCTGGACGGGGACGAGGTGCTTGTCCTCGCAGCACGCTCAGGCACTGAGGGTGACATGTCCCCTTCACAGACCAGGACACCAAGGGCCCAGAGGAAGAATGACCGGGCAAGGCCACACAGTTGGGAAGTGGCCCAGCTGAGGCCTGGACAAGAGCCAAGCAGCAACAGCCAGGGGCTCAGGCCCCCGCCAGGCCTCCCCGGCCCGGGCCAAAGCCCAGCTCGTCGTCCCTCGGACCTCGGTTTCCCCTTCAACCAAAACAGGAAACTGCCAGGGCCTTTCAGGTTCTGCCTGCAGGTTCGCGCTTACATCCCCCTTGAACCCCCCTGCCCAGAGAAAAGGCAGAATGTGAAGGAGGGCAGAGAAGGCAGCAGGAAGTGGGGACAGGGGCAAGAACAGCAAATTCTCAAAAGTGCCATAGCCACGAACCCACTGCTGCTGTGTCCTGTGGCTCCACTGTGACAGGCGCCACACAGCAAGGGGCCAGTATTTACAGACCAAGACAACCGCACACGGAGAGGAGCCAGGTCCCCGAGGGATGCTGGGCAGTGTGCCCCGGGGCCGGTCGGAAACCCCACCCCCACGAGAGCCTCCTGCACAGCACGGTGGGCAGGAACCAGCCCGAGCGGAGCCGTGGGGTCCCAGCGGGTTTGGGGAAGGAGTGGCAGATGAGAAGCCCCTGGCTCGTCCTCGCCTGGCACCAGCCGGGGCCCTGTAGACCTGACAACCATGGCTGTTTGGAAAACAAGCTCTCTGCATTCCTGGCTACTCCACGGAAGGTAAACAGTTGAGTCCTGGATGCCAGCCACCTTCCTTTGTGTATTTTCCAAACGTTTTTATGCCAGTTTTTATGCCTTTCACGATAACAGCAACTTGGGACGCACGTCAGGCCTGGTCTGGCCTCTGCTCGGGCACCTCTCGTGGCGGCATCATAGCAGCGGCCTCGGCGAGCTGCCGGGGGCTCTGCGAGGCTCCCCCAGCCCTGCTTCACTCAGGCGGCCGGACAAGCCTTGCTGCCCCTGAAAACACCTCAGTGGGGCTTTGGTCTCCCCGCTCTGGCTGGGAAGGAGGAGGCAGGCCGCCCCCTCGGGAGGGGGACCCTCCGAGGACAGGATGCATCCGAGGAGGCGACCTTTGGAGGGGGACACGCCTCAGAGGCTTTGCGTGTTTCCCAGACGGGGTGGGTATAGGGCCCATGCGGAAGTAAGCTCATTTCAATTGTGTCATTTTGTCTTTCTGGCCACACTCTGCCCGCAGAGAAAGGCACTGTCCCTGGGACGTGTTGTTTTGTTCAGAGGCAGGGGTCTGATTGGTCTCCCTCAGCAAGAAGCGAGGTGTTTCAATGGCAGGGCCGCCCGCTGTGGCCCGGGGAGGTCTGCAGGCACCACACTTCCAAGTCACGCCGGCCCGGGAGGCCAATGGTGGACGCTGTCTGTGTGGCGCTCCGCGTCCGGAGAAACAAGGGCCCAGTGTTCCCTCGGCAGCGACCAGGCAGCGAAGTGGGCGAGGGCGGGGGAGGGCTGAGAGGGGCAGAACAAAAGCCTGCAAACCCCTGTGGCTGGAACGTCATCCCTAACCCAACAGGCAACCCAAGCACGGCCAGCCCGGCAGCCAGGGCAGCCTGGGTCGGGCTCCCCACCTGCCCCACCACCTGGTCGGGAGGACGCCGGGCACGGCGGACGCCAGGAAAGCCCTCGCAGCTCAGCTGCTCCTGGGCTGGGGTGCGTCGCCCCTTAACTGCTCTGGGCCTCGGTTTCCCCATTCCTAAAACAAGGTGCTGTTATGTCTTCCCTATTACCGCGCAGGGCGGTTCTGATGGATTAGAACAGTCCGTTTGTGGATGTGGCACCGGGTGTGCCACACGCAGGCCGTGACCGCCACTCAGCGCTCAGGCAGCGCCCCTGCTTGCTCGCTCACGGCTTTGACAAGCGTTTCCTGGGCACCTCCTGGGCCGGGCCCCGGCCCTCTCCTCTTGCCTCCCCCAGGCGGCCGCAGGAACAAGCGGGCTCACCCTGGAAGCAGACTCAGGCGAGGGGCGCAGCCACGTGCTGCTCCACGTCCTACAGGGAGACGGGCCCCTTTGCCTGCAACGCCCCCCATGTCACCCCCCAGAGCCCAGGAGCTCTTAGCTGTTTTAAGAGTCCCGGCTCAAAAGTTCACTCCTTTTTCAGGCTTTTCAGCTCACCCCAACCCAAACAGGAAGAATCCATGGATGTCTTCCTGGTCTCTTTCATGTTCCCAGGACCCTCTGCCTATCCCCCCAGGACTGTGCCATCACTTCCAGTTATAAAGTCACCTCTTTAACACTGACTCCTCTACCAGACCCCGAGATCCCCAACGACCCTGGTGAGGCCTGCCTTATACAAGCCCCAAAGGGGAGGACGTGGGGGCGCGGGAGGAGGTCAAAACGACATCAAAGGCAGAGGGCTGGCTCTCCAGGCTGCATTCCCAGCTCTCTCTCCTCTCCCAAACTTCCCGGCGTGCTTCTCTGACGTGATCAATAACCAGCTAGACCTGAAAAAAACAGACACCCACCCCGGGGTTCATCAGGGATGCGGGGACTCAGGAAACCTGGCGCCGACCCCCACGAGCGGGCTGCTCATCCTCTCTGGATGCAAAGCTCAATGTGCTACGTGATCTGAAAACAACCTACACTCCTCTGAGCAGCCCAGACAGGCTGCCGCTGACTTCCCAGCTCGGGGGGCTGCATGGGAAGCCGGCGTGGGAGTCAGGCAAGGATGAGGCCAGGCCCACGGGGTCCCCACTCTCTTGGAGCCTCGACGTGAATCCTAGCACTAACGCTCAGCCCTCGCACGCTCGCTCTGTACTGGGCTCTGCTCTGAACACTTTGCACGCATTAACTCGGGAAATTCTCACAGCAGCCTGAGGTGGGGACCCATGAGAGGGGTGTAGAGGTTAAACGGCCTGCCGAGGTCTCCCTGCTCCTGTCCACTGTCAACGAGACCCAGCCGATGAGCACAGCTGTGACACAGCCGCCCCTTGGAACCTTCTGGTGACCGGAGCCCGGGGAATCTTCTGTTCTAGTGAAGCAAAGCTGGGTGGGTTCCTGGGTGAGCGCTGGTCACCTGAAAAAACAAGCCATGACTGGAAGCTTTCGGCCCCACCCCCCATTCTCCAGGAAGGGGAGAGGGGCCAGAAATTAGGTTAATCAATGGATCATGCCAATGGATCGAGCGTCCTTAAAAATCCCAAGGGTACGGCGTTCAGGGAACCTCTGGGTTGTTGAACCATAGACGTGCTAGTAAGTGGCTCGCTTGGCAAGAGCATGGGAGCGCTGTGCCCCTCCCCCACATACCTC